AAAGGAGGTGAGGGGGTGGGGGCAGAAAGTGGAAATGAAAGCAGACAACAGAACATTGCTAGAGAGCAGGAAAGGAGGTGAAAGGAGACAATTCTGGCCAGGGCATGAAACGTTGGGTAAACTATTTCAGTTAAAAGACAGAGATACTCTAAAAAAAAAATAAGCTTCTACAAACGTGAATAGGATCTAGTTCAGGTTTTCTGTGTTCACGGTGAAGGGCTCAATCACCCCACCAAAGGGATAAAAGACAGAGCTACTCCATAAAACAAACTTTCACATACACAAAAAAGGATTTGAACTCCGTGTTTTCTGTGGAGCCCAACTACTGCACCAAAAGGGCTGGGGCAGAAATCTCCAGTGGGCCATAACACACAAACACACACACACACACACACACACACACACACACACACACACACACACACACACACTCCCGCTGGCTCTCTATATCTCGTTTATCCCTGTCTCCACCCCTCAATTCTTCCAGACCCCCCGGGGCGATGCCACTGACTGAAGAGTCTTAAGGCCATTCCAAAAGGGGGACATTTCTCGTTCTAAGGCACAGTAGAGTTAATTGTAAATGGGCTGATCCAACAATGTCATCCTCATAACTTCTCCTGAACTACAGCAGGAAACTGCTGCTTTTTCTTTCCTAATCCTTACAATTCTCATTTTCCTCTACTTCTTTTGCATGTTTGTCACACCCGCTATTTCCAGGGCGCCTTAATAGTCGAAGCAGACTTTGAGCAGTTGAAGCTGGAGAGGTGAGCAGAGTATGTCTGATATTCTGTAAGGACGTCTCTTTTGACATCCACCTCTTCATGGCGTTCTTATGATCGTATGCAGTTGCGAGCGCCGTAAAACCTCTACTAAAACAAACAACATTATTCCTGATAATAAAATGCCAATCATCCTCTTTCTCTTTCTCTCTCTTTGTCTCCATCTCCCAGTGTCCTCCTCCTCCTCTCATTCTCTCACTCACATGTACCTTCCAGCCGTAATCATCTCTCATTGAATTCGACTACCCGTCTTTCTGGTATATCACAAACGTCTACTTACTCTCACCCTGTTCTTCATGTATCTCTTTTTCTGCCTATTCGTTGCCTCGGTCCCACTGCAACTACTGTCTTTATAATTGTCTTGCTTTCTGGAATGTTCTCTCTCTCTCTCTCTCTCTCTCTCTCTCTCTCACTTTTCTCTCTGTCTCTCTCTGTCTCTCTCTGTCTCTCTTTGTCTCTCTCTCTCT